CCCCCCCCCAAAGCCCCGATTCGGCTCAAAATTATGGAATTTGAGTTGTAGGCATCTTTAGCTTCCTCAACGTCTCCTACAACTATTTCATCGCTTAAGAACCCACAAAAACCGTTTTATTTTTGCCCGTACCCGGCATGTTTATCACCACCATTTCCTCATAAAGTCAATATTTTTTCTTCTTTACCGGCCGTTTTCTCAAAACGCGACTTTTCTCTATACCTTTTTGAATAACTCCACCATTTTTCATCCAATCTTCGTGAAATTTTCACAGAATGAAGAGAAGATGTTTTACTAAAAAAAATTTGTTGAATTTTTAATATTTGGAATAGTTTTTTGTTTGTGGTGTTTTGAGTGTGAATTTTCACTGATTTTTTGCGAACTTGAAAGGTAGCTCAGAAAATTATTTTTAAAAAATTCGTTTAGGAAAAAACAACAGACAAATTTTTAGATCTAATGTTTGTTAACACGCATGTAAAACAAACAAACAATTAATTTCCATGAGCAGTTAGTGCGGTATTCATTACGTAAGACATGTCAACAAAATCCAATATGGCCGCCGTATCCATGGAAACGAAACTTTTCTCTCAAATTTGATTGCGGTTTTTAAGACTCCTTACTATGCTTGTTATGTGAAAGTTAGTAAAATTCGGTCCAGTTATAAGCGAGATAGCCTTCAGGTGTAACCCCCCCCCCCCTAAGAATGATTGACCGGCTGCTGCTGTGAGTTCTCTGTACATCGCCCTTTTGTGTATTTCGCTGCTCGGTTAATTATTTTGGAGAGGTTGAGTGCAAATGTAAAACGTCCTCGTCAATACAGTTTAGATCTATATAGAAGGTGGGCTGGATGTATAGAGGGTGCGCTGTTCCGACCCTCCCGGTCATTGTCATCCTGGGTTGAGTGGAAAAATAGAAAAAAAAACCCAATTTTTCAAGTAGGTGCTTTACCAAATTAGAGTGTTTGCAATTGCATAAGGTCATACAAGCGTGCGGGACACATTAAACATTTCAGCTTGGTTGGAATTAGTTTTGAATGTTACCCGGGTGACGGCCGAAGCCTATTCTTACTGCTTTTCGGACCAGCATTGCACAGTTCGCACACGGGGTCTTCGAATTTTTTTCGCCCTTCTGCTTGAAGGCTTGGTATTAGATCTTTCACCTACCCAAAGATCAGGGGTGCGGCTGAAAGACAGCAGTAAGGAGCCTAGAAGTAGCGGTAGAAAGGCAGCAGAGAGGATAACGTTTTTAGAGAAGAAAATTTTCCGTCGTTGCAGGTTTCATACCCGGGGCCTTTTGAATGAGAAGCGAACACATTTCTTCTAGATCACGAGAGAGACCCCCC